ATGTGTATAAGAGACAGGGTTTGCTCAGTGCCACCGTGCAAGGGCTGTGACCTCCCCCCTCCAGAGCCCAGGACAGTGTCGGGGGGCCCGGCTGGGTGATGGGGACACGGGGGTGACAGGACACAAACCCTGGATGGGGACAGGGGCTGCGCGGCCACGGTGGGACCCAGGGGAAGGAGCTGGAGAGCCAGAGCTTGGCAATCAATTGTAACAAAGCCCGGGCGACAAAGGCAGGTAATTAGACTCATCCAGAAGTAATTATATTTGTTCCACTCTACTGAACTTTAAAAAGTAATTAACAGGGGATAGAAAGTGACTGGGGGGGGTTAAAGGTTTGTCCTCCCATAAGCTGCTCTGAGCCAGCAAACTCAGACACCATCACCAAAGATACAAAGAGGAGAACCTCCCCATTTTACAGGTGGGGAAACTGAGGCACAAGGGGGGGTGTGTGTGTGAGTGACATGCCCAAAGCCCCTCATGAGGCCAAACAAGGACTCACCACCCCCAACCCCACTGCACACACTTGCCAGACCACAGATCAGTTGTTGGGGTTGGGTTTTGTTGGTTTGTGGGTTTTTCTTTAATTCATCATGTTAAACTATGGACCAGCAGGTCTGTCTCTTGGCGAAAACAACGAAAGGCACACGCAGAAATAAAAGTAAAAATCCAAATGCCTGAGAAAAACAATTCCAGGTAAGGAAAACGATTTCTTGAGACACTGTTTGGAGTTTTATTGGCAACAAGGCTCAGCCTTTCACATGCTTGGCCCCAGCCCCGCTGCCTTTTCCCACCAGGAACAGCAACGGCAAGCGGAGGGATGAGGAACCTCCACACCCTGCCGAGACCCCCGCGGGAACGCCGGGAGAGCCCCGGGGGGGCCTGGAGCCGTCCGTCCCCCTCAGGCCCTCCCGCATCCAGCCCTTGGGGCAGACAGCGCCTGCCCACGGGAATTAAACAGCCCATTAAAACATTCGCAACTGGTTTGATTTAAAAGCAGACGGCGAGGAGGCCGCCGTGGGCCGGGAGGACGCGTCCGCAGGGCCGGGGAGCGCCGGGGGCGGCCAGTGCTGGATCCGGGGTCGTTCCTCCCCGGAGAGTCCCGCAGCGCCCGGAGGGGCACGTGCCAGCAGCCGACGAGCCCCCGATACCCTGTTTTACCTCGACACAGCTCTCCCCTGCTTCCTGCTGGGAGCTCCCTTGGCCTTTCCAAACCCAAATCCTCTTTGTAGGAGAAGCCTTGAGATATGTATTTGTCTCACGCCTCTTCCTGGCAGATCCAACACTGCAAAAACACCCTGGGGCAGAAATACTGGTGGCTCTGAAATGGTCCCCACCTCTGGAGGGGTCCAAAGCCCAACGCCGTGGCACCCAGGCGACCTTCCCAGGTGTGCAGAGGATGGGGAGAACAAGGGGTGCACGTTATAAATATAAAATCATTATCTGCTACAAACAGAAGACTTATATTGTACATCTTTGACCCATATACACAAGAACACAATATACACAGAACGCCTCGGAGGAGCGGGGGCTTTGCAAGGGGGGTTTTTGGGAGATGCTGCTCCCCTGCCAGCGCCCCCACGCCTCCCCCCCGCGCCGGAGGGGGCTGTACCGACAGCACATCAGTCACCAAAAGTCCCTTGTTGGTGTGTGGATGGAGTGGTCGTTCCCCCACCGCCGTGCCCGTCCCGCTGCCCCGGGGGGAGAGGGAGGTGAAGAGGATGGAGAGAGGAGAGAGAGGGCAGGCGCCAGGGGCTCTCTTGTGAACCCACGGAGTGCTTGGGGGCTCCGGATCCTCGGAGCGAAGCTCAGCCCTGAGAGAAACTTCTTGCCCTGCTGCCCTCGGTGCGGGGAGGGGTCTCTGATAAGGCATTTTCATCTGGGAGTTGGAGCAAACGGTGTCGGAGAGAGAAGGGAGCAGATGGGGCAGCGCACGTGGCGGCAGGTTAACACGAGGCAGCGAAGCCAAGGTGGTCCCAGACAGAGAAGCCCAGGGCAGGGGGTGGAGTGGCAGGAGGGCTTCGTCCTCGGCTCAGTTTCTCTGTTGAATTGTCCCCCGTGTCCTCCCCGAGCCCCTTCAAGCCTCTGGGCCCGGCTCGAGCTGCCAGCCCGGTGTGAAATACTGACGGTGGTTGGAGTGGCACATCCAGGCGCAGGGAGGGGCAGACAGGCACGCGTTAAAGAGTTAAGACAAGAGTCGATGTGAGCTTTGTACAGCGAGGAGCAGCTCCCGGCCGGAGTGTCCGAGGACTTGGGATGACAAAAATGCCACAGTGATCAGATCGGGCCAGGACAAGGGGGTGGGCACGGGGCAGAGGAGGGAGTCGTGCCCTGGCACCTATCGGCGGTAATGATTGGGGGCATCTGCAAACATGTACTTGAGTCTGTAGGCTTCTGCGAGCAGGAGTCCAATTTCTTCGTTACCCCAGTGTATCGTGGGCAGGTTTTGTAACAACATCAGAAGGCCCTGAAAGAGGGGAAGGTGCTCAGTTTGGTACAGATCCAGAGCAGGCTCGGGGCCGGCACGACCAGAGGCAGCAGCACTCAGGAATTTTTGCTCACCACATATGCAGGTCCGAGGGGCTCGGAGTTGGCATTAAAATGTGCTTGTGTCTAGATCTGAATCACTGAAACACCTCAGACACCCCCAAACCCCCTGAGATACAGGGTGCTACCACAGTGCTACAGCTGGCCACCCAAAGGCAAACACGAAGGGATTTACCCTGATGGAAGCTGGAGCCCAGGGAAGAGCTGCCCAACAGCTCGGTTCTGTCCTGAGCACTCGGGCTCAGGAGTTACTTTTAGGCAAAGCTCCTGAGAGCGGATGATCTCGGAGCCAGCTCTGAGGTGACGGGTTGACCGTATCCACGCTGAGCTCCCAACCACAGCAATTCCCTCCCTTCTACCCCCAGGGAATTACCCCCAGCCCGAAAGACTTACTTGGAAGTCTTCCTCATCTAGGATCTCCTTCCGCCACTTGATCAAGAAGGCGGCGCAGACGTACAGGTGGAAATGGGAGAACCCTTCTGGCTCCGACTGTGGACAGCAAAACCCTGGGTCAGCTCCTGCAGCTCAGCTGGATCACGGCCTCCCTGGACACTGATGTTCTACCGGGCCACCCACCTCCCAGCTGGCTATAAATGTCCCTGGGCCACGCTGCTTTGCTTCCCTCATCTCTGCAGCTGCACGGTGCTGCCAGAAGACCCCCGTCCCCCTGTGTACAGGGAATCAGCCCCACAGTGACCCCCAAGCAGGGAGGGCAGCGGGAGCCCACGTACCTGGTAGGTGTCCCAGAGGCGGATGGTGCAGCGAAGCGGCAGCTCCCTCATAAGCAGATTGTTCATCCAGCGAAAGGCAAACTGCAGGTATTCGACCTCGTACTTCCTAAAGTGATTATGTACCTGCTCTGAAACAGCACATTTCACTTACACACCTGGGGACCACGGTGCCCCAGCGCCTGCACACGGTCACTGCCCCCAACACACCAGCTTTCATGTGCTTTCAGCTGAGTCCTTGTTCTCCCAAACGCCTCCGCTCCTCACCCTGTGCTGCCTGGCCAGAAAAACCCAGTCCCCAGCAGGTTTCTGTCTGACCCGACCCTGCCCTGCTTCCATACGTGTTGTAGGCGTCTACCCCTCCCCTGAGAGCACTACTTGCAAAGGAGGCCTCCCGCTCTTGTGACAGAAGAGCCTCCAACCTGCTCAGATCCCTCTGTCTCCTACCATCGATCCGGCTGACCAGCTCCTCCAGTGCTTTAACTTTCTTCTGGATCCCTGGCTGTGCAAAAGTGTAGTTATCCTGCAGGGAGAGGCCACAAGTCAGCAGCAGCAGCACTAACAACAGCTAGAAATGACCAAAACCAGATGCCCAGCTCCACAGAGAGATCACCGTGAGCCAAGGAGCCACAGCTCTTCAGCACCAGGATCATCTGCCTGCTGTGAAGTCCCGAGCCCAGACAGCACCCACTGAACAGCCACAGCATCTTATTTCCCCAGGATTTTACCCATAGATTTAGCTCAGTGAAGCAGCAAAATCTCCCTAATGCTAGGACATGCAGAGAGCTCACCCAAACGCAGAGAGATGACTCTGCTACCCCAGCAAGGGACAGAAACCTTGTGGCCCCAGAGGCTCACCTGTATCCCGTCCAGCAGCTTGCTCATGCACCAGAAGCTATCGGCTTCGATGCTCCGTAAAACATCCTGTGACAGGTTTGTCACATCAAAGTTCTCCACGTCTTCCTCTGCAGAACAGACAGGGAAGAGCATCAGGAGGATGGGGGGACACTGGGAGGCTCACGGGACACACCGAGGGGCTTTATCAAGCCAAGGCAGGGCAAGAGGCACTACAGGGCTCCCCGAGTGATGTCAGCATCCTGCCTGGCACAGAGCGCAGCACCCGCAGCACCCAGGCAAAGGGCTGAAGGACCCCAGAAGACTTGGTGGCTGTGATATAAACCCAGCCCAGCTCCTCAAGGGGCCGTGGGAGGTGCTGCTGTTGTCTGTGCGGGCGAGGTCTGTGCATGTTGTCTGCGCAGGCGAGGTCTGTGCATGGACAAAGCTCCCAGCATATAGAACCCCTCTTGCTGGAGCACGTCCCACCCTGTGTGACAGCAGGTCCCTGCCAGCTGGCAGCACCACAGGGAGAACTGGGAGAGGTGAATCCCTCACTGCATCCAGAAACCAGGAGAGGAAACGCTGCCCTTGGCCTGGGGCAGCACAAGGGAGGTCACTTCCCCCTCCCAGTCAGATTCATCAGCATGATCCCAGGACCGAAGAACAACAGAGGCACCTGAAAAGCGGCTGCCAACTCTTGAGGACCCATGAGAAAGAACTGCCAAAGCCTCAGAAACCCCTACAGTAGAGTAGGACTCTCAGGCACAATTGCAAGGACCCAAAAGTGTGCAAACATCTTCCTGGAGAGCTGAAAGGCTCCGAGATAAATCCAGCACAGAGCCTGACAGCACGGCCACGTGAAGAGAGACCTCTCAGCTCCCCAGAGCTTCTCCTCCTCCTCGAGCCCAGCTGAAGGAGAGCTCCAGCAGACAGCAGCCCCATGCACAGAAGAGCCTTGCTGTGGGGGAAGCTGAGATGTGTGCAAGCTTGTTTTTCAAACCCAGTGGAGTGAGGGTCTGAGAACACAAGGGTTAGTGGCAGCTCTGTCCCCAGAGGGTACTCACAGAATCATCTTGGTTAGAAAAGACCTGGAAGCTCCTCCAGCCCAACCACGAACCTAACCCTGACCGTTCCCAACTCCCCCAGATCCCTCAGCGCTGGCTCAGCCCGACTCTTCAACCCCTCCAGGGATCCCGGGGACTCCCCCCCTGCCCTGGGCAGCCCATTCCAACGCCCAACAGCCCCTTCTGCACAGAAATCCTTCATCAGAGACAGCCTGACCCTGCCCTGGGCAGCTTGAGGCCATTCCCTCGGGGCCTGGCGCTGGCTCCTTGGCTCCAGAGACTCATCCCCCCTCTCTGCGCCCTCCTGGCAGGGAGTTGCAGAGGGCCAGGAGGTCTCCCCTCAGCCTCCTCTTCTCCAGACTGAACCCCCCCAGTTCCCTCAGCTGCTCCTCATAAGACATGTGCTCCAGATTATAATCAGAGTGCAAAAGGCTTCCCTTGCTTTTTAATGGGCTTATAAACCCCCAGGAAGGGCAAAGAAGAGACCAGATGTCTCAAGGGTGGGACGGTAGTGATGCTGGCTGAATTTGCAGCAGATATCACCTGCTCCAGGCCAGGCTCACCTTAACCTGGAGGCTGTCAAGGGCAACAGGCACTGGAAGGCAGTGGAAACTGGGAAGGAGACAGGCAGGAGACACAGCTCTGGCCCTCCTGGCTCCACTGACCCAGCACCTCCCTCCCTTTCCTCCTCAGGAGGAGAGCACGCATCACGCTGCTGTCACGCTGCTAAATCAGATCAACCCATGCCAGAGCTAAACTGGCCCATTTCCAAATGCAGGGGTTTGGAAATCCTAACAAGCATCTTTGATCTTCCTTGGAAAAGAGCAAGAGAGGGACAGAATGGGGCTCAGGGCTGGAGGCAGGCCACCCCCTTGGCTCGGATACGCTGCAGGGCAGCTGTCACAGGCTGACATGCTGTGAAAACCAGCACTCACAGATCCTGCCCCCAAAAGTTTGGAGCCAGCTGCTCCCACCTCTGGGGCAGAGCTCAGCTCTGGAGCAAACTGTCACCAGGAGCTTTAGGGACAAGCGAGGGCTTAACCCTGCATTAATATGACAATCTTGTACTGCAGAAAGAGCAGCAAAGCTCTTTTCCAGCTGCAGGTCATCATCCAAAACTATCACTCTTCTGCCGGCTTCTCTACAGCCACTCTCAACTGTTCCAGGTAATGAGAAAGGCAGGCAAAAATCTGTTTAATACCCATTTTCTTCCTAGATAATAAAGAAAAAGAGGATGGGCAGGTGAAGGAGCAGGTCAGGGCCAGGTGTACAGCCAGGACTGGTGGGAGAGGCAGGCTCAGGCACGCAGCAATGATTGAGCCTCGTGCAGAAAACCTCCCTGTGCAGCTCTAGGCATGAGGACTGAGATGGAGAAGGGGATGTGGTGACCTGCCCAGCTGATGGGGAACACCCTGCTGTTTGCACCAGTATGGGGACAAGAGGAGCAACCCTGTCTGCACCCCCATGTCAAAGCAAAACAGCGGTAAGAGATCCTCAGCATGAGCCAACTCACAGCGCAAGAAGTTTTGAAAAAACCTCCCAGGTCTCTGGAGCGTGTGGCTCAGCACAAACATCTGCTCAGCGGCATCATTAAAGAGATGCCGTGGAAAGGAGGGAGATACTCAACATATGGCTCTGACAGGGGCTGAAAAGGAGCCAGGGACACGGTGACAGCTGCCCGCGGCTGGGCTGGAGGCAGCCGGGACACCGCCAGCAGTGTCACAGGGTGCCCAAGGGCAGCTGCCGTTTGGGGAAAGCGAAGTTCCTGTGAGTGACATTTTGACAGGGCTCAGGGCAGACCCAGGAGAAGGGACATCACAGTGAGCCTGACTCAAACGCCAGGCAGCACAGAGCTTGAAGCAGAGGAGCCAGAGCTCCAGCCTCCCGCAGCCCTGCCTTCTGTAAAGGAGCTTTAACACTGCCCATATTCTGGCAGCTGGGGCTTAATGCAGGACTAGAGGCCTGGAGACCAGTTAAACCCAGGCTCAGCTCACAGCTCTGCACAGCAATGGGCAAGGCTGCACCACGTGCGGTCAGCGACAGGTCCAGGGCAAAACCTGGAGTTCAGAGCGAGCTGGGTCAGTGGCAGCGTAAGGAGGAACAGCCAGGCACAAGGCTCCCCCCTCCCCTTCATCCAAGCTCCACTTCTGCTCCTGCTTACAGGGAAACAGGGTCCTGATTTAACCAGGATTAGGATTTAGTAACAGAGCCAGCTAGGAATGAGCAAGATCAATACTTTCCATGGTACTGCTCCCCTCTACAGCCTTGGTGAAACGCCAAACAGGTCCCAAAGCTGGAACAATCCCTTATGCAAGGCTTTGAATGAGGGATGGAAGTGGTGTCATACACTGGGATGGGCAGAGAGCACAGGGAGAGGGTGCAGGGTCCAGCACTGACACTACCTGGGGATCCTGAACTCATTTCTGAGCTCTGCCCCTGCCATTTTAAACGCAAACACAAGCCATGAGAGCTGGGAGCAACTCAGGAGGGCTGCAGGACCTGAGCTGGGAGGCAACTTCAGCAGGACTCAGCATCCCTGTGCTTGCTGGGCCCTCTCTGGCCAGCTGGAAAGGGGGGCAGGTGCCGAGGTGTCACCCCCCTCCAGTTCCTGGAACCCCAGACTGTCTCTCTCCACCCTCAGCGCTCAGCTCTGCCTCCCAGCGGGGCTGGCAGCCCGTGCCCATCCCACCCCGAGGGCAGCAACCGCAGGCTGAGCTGCTCCTGCAGCCTCAACACCTCCCTGGAGCTCTTCCTCATGGCAGCACCAGCTGAAAACAAGCAGCGCTCAGCAATGTGTGACAAAGCCATCCATCAGCTGGGAGGTGGAACCGCTCCAGCTCCGGAGCTGGCAGTGGCCCAAGTGCCCGTGCTTGCTGCCAAGTAGCCGAGGCAGCCATGTTCGTGGGGGAGGCAGGTAGAGCATCACAGGAGAAGGTGAGGCAGCTTGCCACGCTGGGGGAAAGGGGAAAACACAGCAGTTAAATCTATCCCATCTGCCAAAGGCTCACAGCAGTCCGGAAGAAGCATGAGTTTTGCATCCAGACTGGGTGCAAGTACAAGAAAAGCAACTGGTCCCAGCTGGCACTGGAAAAGGGGGCAGGGGAGTTCAGAGACGGGGACTGGAAGCTCTGGGGAAGAGCTGCTTCTCCCTGCTTCAGCCTAGGTGGTATTTTCTGAAGCTGGTCAGAGGTGCACACACACTGAATGCAAGGCGTTGCTCAGAAAGCTTTTTTTTTCTTTTTTTTTTTTGATATTGCCATATCAACGGGACCCAGTCAGTCGGGCTAGGGAAAGGCAGGTTAATAACAGGGGTCATCAAGTTCCCAAAGAATCCCAGGGCAGCTAGAAGAAATAGTTTCCTGCAAAATGTTTTTCACTCACTGGTCTGTTTACCTCCTTCAGGAGGTGGAGAGGCATATACCCTTCCTCCTCACACTTTCCACAGTGACAATGGAAAGGCATCAAGTCAAAGACACAGCGGTGTGGCCAAACTGCTCTATCCACTACCTGGAGCAAGCTGTGCTTAATCCCTCTGCACACAAGGGCCTGGGAGTTTCCTGGGTTACTGCTGACTGACGGTTCATTGCTTGTGTCAACTTCAATGAAAGGAAGCTGCCAAACTGTTCCCTGAATGTGCCTGATAAGCTACAGACCATCCCCTACCCAAACCACCCACCTTTTTTCCATGGACACGTCCTAGCCTTTGGTGGGAAGCCAGACAAGCCCTCTGAGGGATGTTTTAGGCCTTGGCCTAGTAACTGATATATAATGGAGACACTGTCAACCAGACACATTAATCAGCTGATAAGCACCAAGGAGAGATTTTAATTGATCCGTAGAAAAGTTGATCTGTGGTCTGCAAATGCAACGGCTGCCCAAAGCATGGGATGATGGGTTAGAAGTCTAGAGCAAACTTGGAGATGGGAACTGGCCCGTTATCGGAGGTGAGATTGTTTTATGAGAAGCCACTAGACTGAACAGAAGAGCAGGGTGTCAGCCCAGCTTTGTGCTGAACAGCTAACCAAAGTCAACAGCTTGTGAACTCCCACCTCCGCCTGTCAGCTCTGAATCACAGACACAGAGACACCCCCCACGGTGCCTGGAGAGCTGTGATGGTCCTGCTGAGTCAGCTGCAGGAGACAGCCCTGCCAACGCTCCGACACAAACATCCCGGGGAAGATGGTGGGCAGCTGAGCAGAGGAGCCAGCTGGCAGCACGGTGGGTCCCTTCTAGCATCTTGCAGTCAACAAAACACCCGTTTGGAAAGGAGAGGAGGGGCAGCAAACCCAAGAGGCTTGAGGATGAAGCCAGTGGTGGTGCCAGCTCCCCAGAGCCAGCTTTCACAGGAAGGTGAGGGAAACTTTTCCAGGCCAGTTGTGCACACCCCATTGAGCGTGGAAGTTCCCTCAGATGACACAGAAGTGTACGAACCCTCAGGGCCTCTGTGGCCAGGGGCTGCCTGAGCCACACAGATCGTGCCTTTTCCCAAGGGGGATACAGCTTGAAGAGCAGCATTTCCTCTGAACAGGAGATCCCCCACAGAAAGGCGAGTTGTCCCTTGGCACGTGCTGCACAAGGATTATCAAACCATGCAAGGCCTCTTCTGGCTCTCCTGCTGCAAGGACTCGGGTGCAGCACAGACCTGGCTGATCCAGGGAGCCTGAGCATTAATGATCCAACACAAAGAGGCTCCAGACCCTGCCCAGCATCAGCTCTTCAGGGGCCTCTTCAGTCAAAGGCAGCTGTAGAGAAGAGCTGATGCTCCAAACCAGTGACTTAAATCCTGTTGCAAAAGGGGTTACGTGACACTGAACACTGCCAGTTCTTTCCCATGTACATTCAAGGCAATTACTGATCTTGCCCTTAAATTCTGACTGCTACACAGCCAGACCAGGGAGCAGGTAGCCACTGAGACAGCTTGGGACCTCAAGACTGGCTTTGGACCCCAGTCTCTGGGGAGAGAAGGGGGATCCATGATGTTGCTTGGCCAAATTCAACTCAGTGGGTCTTACGCAGAGGGATTTTTTTTTACTCCAACACAAGTTTCAGAGATAGCTGGAAACAGGAAGGCCACATTCAGAGAGGAAGCTTCAGCCAGAGGAAAAAAGAGCCCTGGAAGACAGTGAGAAGCACGACCCCAACAAGAGAGGGACACGTTCGATGCAGCATGAACTCTGCAGCCACACGCAGAGAGATGTGAGCCCCAACACTCAACACGGGACGGGACTGCAAAAAGCCACACCAGGTACCCACAGGCAGCTCTGACGCTTCAGACCAGCTCCCTTCTTGCATGGAGAACTCACCAGGCACAGCTCTGCTTCTAACCCAACAAACTGATCCTGAGCAACCAGCCTCCATCAGGACTAAGTGTCACCAACGCTGCTCAAGGAAGAAGGCACAGAAAGACACTCGAAGGGCACCTGCTCAGACCCAACCCGAGAGGCTCCCGACCTCCCTCCCAAGAAAGGGAATTCCCTCCAGCTGGTAGCAGAGCCACATTTTGTGCCTTCTCCTTCAGGCTATGAGGAGCAACAGCACTTCTGAGGGATCAATCCTGACCACACCAGCTACAGAGTGTAAACAGAGGTGGCCTTCCTCTTTGCAGGTCACTACTAGCTTCCAAAGCCTCAGCTAGGGAGTGGAAGCCTGCTGCTGACTTCAACAAGCTTTGGATTAGACCTTAACAGTATCTGTTCAAAAGAATTTCTCTGTCACTAATACAGTCTTACAACTTCCTTTTTCCTTCTATCTACAGTGAAAACCAAGACCCCTGGGATTATGGCATCTCAGCATTAACAGCAACCCCAAAACACAGCTAGAGCTGGAGAAAGAATAAAAATGCTATGGGTGGAAATTACTTGATCTCCAACTAAAAGCAACTGGCTGACAAGAAAGCCAAAAGCAGCAGGGAGAAGTCAATTTGCTTTCTGAAACTCTCAGCTTGAGAAACACACCTGTATTAGCAGCACGGGACAGGAATCTTTATTTAAATAGTTTATTTTACATTCTCAGCAGGGTCTCTTTATGCTTCCCTGACTCCTTTAGAGCAAGAACTAGCTCCAAGCACAAGCTTTGAGAGCAAGACCCTTCCCTCCCCAAACTCTGTATATCAGAGCTTTGCATAAACTCCCTCAGTGCCTAAAAGACCCCATTCTCCTCCAAACTGCGAGGATGTTAAATACATTCAAATGCAAATCCACCCTTAGCACTTCAACTTCCGTGGAACTCAGCAAGGTTACGAAACTGAATTCAATTTAACCAGGCAGCACAGATACAGTAAGAGGTCAAGATGCATCAGCCTGGTGCTGAAGGAAGAACACACACCTCATCCCCTCCAGCAAGGCAAACTTGTCTGATGCCAGCGCTTCACACCATTTCAAACACCGTGGTCAAGAGTCAGCACCGTGCTTCAAACAGCAAAAGTCACTTACCAACATACTCAGAGAGGAACACAACAAAGAACGGAGTGACCAGGTCATTGATTCCCTGCACATAGCCGCTGGCTGGGTGTCGAATGGCCCAGATAAACAGGATTCTCTCAAAGATCTAGGGAAGAATGAGGGAAAGCAGGTACCTGCATTAGCCGTGCACAAAGGAAAGGCAGAAAAGCATAACTACTAAGCTCAGGGAGCAGAGATCATGCGCTGACAGGCTTTTCTGCAGCAACACGGGTGAGATAAGAAGCATGCAAGTCCTAGGAGAGACTCTGGTATGATCCACAGATCCCCCACACAGGCCAGCCCACACCTCTCAGAACAAAGCAGGCCAGGCTCCTCAAAGCCGTTGTTTGAAGAAGTGCAGATCCAACTTCTCAAGATCCAGGTGGCTTAAGACCCTTCCACCCATAGGGCAGGGCTGCCCCTTAGCAAAGCAGCACACCTTGCTGAGTGTCACATGAAAAGCCAAGGCTGTTACCTGTTATCAGCACAGTTCTTCGGGCAAAACACCACGGGTTTGGATACTTCCCAATAGAGCAGCCCCCCTCCAACAACCAGTGTGTTATTTCCAGGCTGCCCCAGCCCCAGGACACTGTGCTCTGACATATACACACACGCTGAGCTCATTTCTGAAGAGGACAGATGCTCCTCACACCTCCTGGCCACCTCTCAAACCCCTCCCTGCCTGTGTTTCTCACATCCTGCTTCACACACAAGAGGTTTCGTAGCAAAACACAACTGATCTCCTCTGGTTCAAACACCTTGAATTTGTCTCAAAACAAAAGCTTCAGGTCTTTTACCAATTGTTGGCTACATCACACCACAAAAGAGCTGATCTCATCACTCCTGAGCTCGAAGTCTGTTTTCAGAAACATGGGACAAAGTTTCAGCAGGTATTCACTGGATCAGGAGCTGTCAGCCAGGGAAGTTTCCCGCAAAACCAACTTGCTCGTGGCAGTGCTGGTCTAACCCCAGACACACCCCATGGCAAACGTGGGGCAGGAGCTTTGCTCCCCTCTTACCTCCTGGACGAGTGGCTGCTGGAAGAGGGGGATGAGTGGGTTGGTCCTTGGAATGTCGATGTGGATCTGCAAGAGAGGGTGGGTTACACACACCAGCCATGGTTTCCAGGGGCACAGTAACTCCTCACAGGCTAACAAGATGGGAATCCACCCCTCAGCGTCCCCCCAGGCAGGAGCTGCACTTGCTGACAAGCACAGTGAGGGCTGCAGGTGACGGCTGCACTGAGAAAAATCATCTACAGTTTAATCTCCAGCCTCCTCTGCTCAGGTGTGGGCAGGTGCCCTGAGCTGGGAAAGAGCTGGGGTCTCAATTCTAGTTAATAGGTCGATTTAGGGAAGGCTTAAACTACTACCTGTAATAAGACAGACAGAAACAGTGTCCTGTCCCCAAGGAGAAGACTCCTGATAGCTACAGTTACAGGAAGACCCTGCATGACCTCAACCACACAGACAAGCAGCAGCCAAGAGGGAGGAAAGGGATGTAACCCAGGCAGAAAGCCAGGCAACGAGCAGAGGGCTTGTACCTGTCGGTAGGTGTCTTGATGGTGCTCCTCGTTCCGGGAATCATAATACTGCTGGATGAAGCCAAAATATTCCTCCCGCTTGCGCTGCAGGGTCAGCTTTCGCCGCTCCATGTTTGCAGGGAGATAACCCTGGGGCAGGAAAAGCTGTGTCAGGGCAGAGCCTCTCCCCTCACCACAAACCACCCCCTGAAATCCTGCCAGTCAGCTGTGCGCCTGGAAGCATCAGGCACAGAGACTCAGGAGCTGGGGAAAGAGCTTTCATGGGATCTGGCTTTCCCAGTCCCTGATGCCTTCACTGATCTTGGAGTGACCCAACTTCATGGGATTCAGTTTCCCAAAACAGAGGGAACTACACATTCCCAGCACCAGTCTGGGCTTTGTGCTCACAGAGGATGTAGCAGTTACACTCCCCAACTAAAAAAAAAACCCTACAGCTCACCCGTCGGCTGGGCACAGATACAAGAAGAGCAAACCTGGTTATGGGACACAACGAAGGTCTAGGAGCACATGTCCCTGGCTCGGCACATTCCCCCCAGAATCCTGCGTCACAGCTCCAAGTACTCACTGAGAGGAGACGCCACGTCACGGGCCGGACCTCTCTGGGCACACCGGGCCAGCTGCATTTCCTCAGCTCATCTGCAAACGGACAGTGGTGGCAATGGATTAGATCCTAGGCACGTCCAGGCACCACTACACCTAGAAGGAGAGGAAAGCCCAGTCTGCTCCTGCAGGCTCTGGAGACACTTGAGCCTCCTGGAAGGCTCCACATCAGCAATGACGGGGGACACGTGTCTGCAGCAAGGGGAGGAGAGACGTTTTCAGCTCAGTCTGGGCACAGGACTGGTGGCTGCAGGGGCTCCAATCCTCTAGAGCCTCAGTTCTCATGCAAAGCCCAACAGCCCCCAGTGATCACAACCATCATTTGCGAGATGGAGAATGACTAGAAACGTACTGGCAGCTGGTGGAGGACATAACCACCTGCCAATAGAGCAGTTTGTGCAACTATCCTGCTTGGAGCAACTGCAGGTAGTCACTTTATCCATGCCAGAGCAGACTTGACTGCAACCTGAAGCAGGCAGCAGGCCCCCTCTGCCTTCCCCTTCCCACCCACAGGCACCCCCGTTTTGCCACACTCACCCAGATCCGTGTTGTGGCTGGAAAGGAGCTGCCGAAACTTCTCCAGGCGGGTTTTCTCCCTCACAGTCATGGGAGGAGCACCCGAAGCGTTTTGGTCAGAGATTCGGGCGACGAGCGGAATGACGGGCCGAAGGGGAAGGGACTGCTGCTTCTGAAGGGGGGTCCGCACACAGGCCTCCTCTGCAAGGAGCAGATGGTGAGGTGGGGACAGTCTGCACCTCTCCAGCCCCACCTCACTCTTCTGGCCACTGTCAGAGACCTGCTGCTGCAGATTCTACCCCTCTCTTTCCCAGTCCCAGTAAACAGAGCACCGCTGGCCCACTCTGATGGATCAGCTGGTTCACAGGCATCTGTCGTGGCTCTTCCATCATTTGCCCCCATTTCTCCCTCCCTTCCTTCCTCCTGCATCAGACTGGCTGCCAGGGGATCAGAATTCCTTCCTCCCATGGGAAGCCATAGGCAGAAGGGCACAGGAGATGAGGCAGAAGGAGCTGTGGGGATCCCACAAGAACCAACCTTCAGATCTGTTCTGCTCACTGCTGATCTAAATAGTGATCAAGCTAATTGACAGCGCAGAGAGGAGGGATCAGCTGCCAATGCCACCTGCTGGCAGCAGGGACCTGCTGGGTAACTTCCACAGCACAGGCAGCTGGCTGGCTGTGAGCAGCAGGGGCTGATGCTGCCCAGTTCTCTGCCCAAACTGTCCCGACCTGGGGTCAATGGGACCTCATCCAGACCTTTACTAAGAGCAGCACACTGGGCCACAAAGGAAGCAGAGGGTGAGCAACCCTAAGCAAGAGTTTAACAGATTTCCAGAATCCCTCAGCACCCAGAACACGGGATCCTCTGGGCCTGTACACAGGACATCAAGCATCAGAGGAGACTGAAGCATTAAGGCCAGACCTCCAAAAATGGCTCCTTGGGGTACAGGATACTACAAGGAGGTGAAAGCCTCTGTTGAGCTTACAGGCTCTTGCCCATAACACGCGAGTAGCAGCAAGGGGCTGAGTTCAGCAGTGAGTCAGGGGAGCACCAGAGCATGAGGCTGCTCCTGAGGATGGTTCTTACCAGCTGTCCTGGAGAGCTGGGCCTCGCTGCTGGACTTGATGACCTTGCAGTTGCTGGGCACATCGTTGAGAGTGGACTGGGCCCGCTCGGGTTTTGCCCGCAGCTTGCTGTGGTTCTCCAGAACTTGGGCTGCCGTGGCCTTGGCCACTTTAGAGTTCAGAGTTTGCAAAGAAGAAGAGGAAGAAGAGAAGTCCTCATCTTCATCATCACCGATGTCCCAGGCATCGCTGGTATTGCGGGCAAACTCGTGAAAGCTGGAGGCCTTCTTGCTTTTCATAGGCAGCGCGTTGGCCTTGGAGCGGTCCTTGATGAAGCTGGGAGCCAGAGAGAAACAGTATCAGAGCCATGCTGTCAGACCACCCCATTTTCCTTCCTTCCCTATGTCCTCACTCCAACCCGCCAGTCCCTTCTCCCAGTTTCCCTGTTCCTCCTCCCAAACCCACAGAACGTGTTAAGTCTCTCTGGGCTGTCTGCTGACGGGAGGCAGAGCCCGAGCTGGTACAATGGCAGGGCACGGAGGCCACAGTGCCAGCACACAGCTGGAGAGGTGCCAGGCTTCCCAGCTCAGAAGGGCAAAGGGGAGAGACGTACAACTCCTCCAGCTCTGCCTCCCCCCACCCTAGAGAAAACTGGTGGATTAACACCCAAAAAAGTCTTGTGACCTGGGGAGAGGCATGTCAGGAGTTAGAGACAGTCTGTGCTTGTGGATGTTCCCGATACAGCTGCGATGGCTCCCAGCAGACAGGCCAGCCTGGTTCTTTTCTCAGGCACAGGAGGAGCCTTTGCATTTACCCTTTAGCTACAGGAGTCAAAGTCCACCACCTGAAGCGTCACAGAAAAGGGGGAACCTTCACCACTACACAGCACGAGATAGAGACAAGGAGGCAGTTCAGATCAGCTCTGCCTCTTCCTGCCAGGAAGGGGCTGCGGTTCTCCAGTCTCGCAGCTTTACCTCCTCTTCCCTTAATTCTTCCATCTCTGAAGGGGAGCAGAGGGCTCAGACACCACTGTTTAAAAAATACGCCTGCCTCCTTTGATGTGGCTGGTACGATAGGGATTTCTGGCCATAAAGGACACCAGCAGATAAGCTTTCCCTGCAAGCTTTTGCAGAGCTCAAGGCAGCACCACACGGCACTGCTGCCCTTCTCCACTTGAACATCACAGTGCCAGAGGGTGCCGGAGACCTCTGCTCACTGCAGGACTGAGCAAAAAACCTGCAAAGCCCCGTGGCCTGGCACCTCCAGAAGATAAACACTTACTTTTTGGTGAGCCGGGGATCCAGCGGAGGATGCTGTGCTCCATACACAGGCTGAATGCTGCAGAAAAGGGAAAGAAAAAAGATGACAATGCAAAAAGCCACAGAGCACCCACGAATAATCTCCTCAGCCTAGTCTGGGGTTTCACTTCTTGCCTGTTGTTGGGAGCTGAATACAGACCAAAAGCAGCTTCAATAATCCTCTGTCTTCAAAGCCTTAGATCCAAAGTGCCACATTCAGCTGAAGATTTGTTCTTTGCAGCAGCAAAGAGAAGCCTTGTTTAAACTCTTAGCTCTCCCCAGCCTGAGCTGGGATTTCAGATCTGCTCTTTTCTGCACCACCCATTTACTCTGAGTGACCACGTGTCTCAGTTCCCCTGCCTTACACACTGATGTTCATTTTCTTTTCCATCAAGAGGATTTCCAGGTTTGGGAATTCACATTTCCGAGCCCTGTGGGACAGGGAAGGACTCCAGCCAGGGACACTGTGGCTCTTCTGCAACACACCTGAGGGACTGAACCCCATGCTGGCTCTCAGGCTTGCAGCCAACGCTACAGTACACGGTTTGACTGAGGTCCAAATCCCAGCTTAATCAACTACTTCCTATGTGGCCTGAAATGAGTCACATCTCTGTCCCTCAGCTCCCCTCCCTGTGGAAAGGGACCCATGGGACAGGGAGCCTGAGGGCTGCAGGCACTACATGGGGAGCAACATCTCAGAGAAGAGCTCCTAGATGCATGTTCATCATTGGTTGTAGAGTCTCTGGATGCAAGACAGGAATCCTGGGTTATTACCTCCATTTGGGTAACAATTCACAGCCACCCCACTCTGAAAAACCATCTCTAGAAAACAATTCCTCTGCATCCCCTGGTACACAGCACAGTCCTGCATCCCACAGCAGAGACAAGGGCCCATTCAGAGCTGGCACACAAGGGATAGGCTCCTCTTGGGTCAACAGAGCTGGCCTGGTTTCCAGGAGCTGCAGATGGTGCCCAGCAGTAAAACGAGCAGAGCCCAGCCACGTAGGAGGGGGACGGCAGCCTGGTGCAGCTGGAAAGCGTGCTGGGAACCAGTTGATGCAGGGGAGGCAGCAGCGACAGGCCCAGCTGGCAGGGAGAGATGCAGAGATCCAGGGCAGAGGCTGGAAACAACACAGCACAGAGAGATCCTGGTGGCAAAGCCCGGCGAGGGGTGGGCTCGCCGCCGCAGCAGCCGTCCCTCGTGGCTGGAAGCACTGAAAAGGCTCACTGTGTTTACCCACCACCGATCAAGCCTAGGAAAGAGTTTGCTGACTAATTAGCATCTAGGAGTCAGGACAGCTATTAAGCAGAGGCACCCCCGTGGGTGGGCATAGCAAGCAGATTATCAAGAGTAAGAAAAACAACCCCTTCAGATCAGCACTGCTTCCCAATGACTCATGGCAGCTCCTTGCAGCAGAGGAGCCGGCAGAGCCTCTCCGATCCCCAGCACCAAGCTCGCGCCGCCTTGTGACAGCAGCCACAGCGCTGCTCCTCTCTGTGCAGGGGTCCCTGTGCTGCTGAGGGGTGACTGCTTCGATTCACATGCGAAGGCCTGAACTTCACAAGCTGAACGAACGATGTGTGTTCGAGATAGTGGAGGGGATGTGGCAGCCAGCTCTGGGTGAGGAAACCCCTTCCTGGGGCTCTGAAGCAATCTGCGGATGCCTCCGCTGGCTAACGGCCGATACAACGGCAGAGGGTCCCACCTCCCAAGGAGCTCTTTTTATAGAATTTGAACTCAGGCTCCCCCAACAAAGCATCCTGAGCTGATCTAAGCGCACAGCCCATCAGACACTGCTCCCACACAAGCAGCTCAAGATGACAGTCTCATTTCCAGCAGGGTACAAAGGTAGGGCTGAACACCCCCAGCCTGCCTCGGTGAGCTCAAACCGCTGTATGAAGTGTGTTCCCCCCGTGTTTGTCCCACCTTTGTGGATTCACTGCCCTATCCACCCATGCAGAAGGTATAACAGGCTGGACAGGAGGTGTGCAAATGGTCTGAGGTGTGCAACAGGTGACTTTTAAGATACACGAGCACTTGCACAACTGCCAGACAGCAAGTTTCTGCCGTAATATCTGTAGTACCCTCAGCGTCTGATCCTGCTCCTTTACTCACATCCTTGTACCCAACTCCCAGCACATCCTACAGCTCCACACAAAGGTGCATTACCACATCCTACCTTTACAGCTGAGAAAATTGCGTGATGCCACCAAGTGATGCTCAGTAACTTTATTTACCCACGCTTGTCTGGTTTTCCCTGACGCAGCTCGGCTAGACGAATCTGCTGTCTCCTAGTTTAACTCCCTGTCTGAAGCTGTCTGCGCCCGACTTGTGCATGGACAGAAAGCTCAGGGCAGGCACTATCTCTGAGCAAACACACCACTGGGTCAGGAGCCAAGAACAAGGCTGACTCTATGCTCCCAAACTGACTGGATGAGTCCCCAGTCCTGTCTCAGTTTAAGCTTTTTAAGACAGGCATTTTTTGTTACCTGTATGTTCAGTGTCTTGTACAATGGCTGTGGTATCTGTGTTACAACGCTCATGAAGAGATCATCGTGGGGTGTAGGTTATTGACACTGCACATCCATGAAACCTCAGTGCCACTTTGGACACAGAATTATTCCTAGCAGATTCTATTTCTCCCCTTTTAAAACAGCATTTGAATACCCTTCACTGAAGGCTGGCTGCCCATCTCTAAAGACCAGGAAACAAACAACCCATCACACAGAGGATAAGACACTAGACCAACCTGTCAGTGCATCCCCAGAAAATTACTGGGCTGAGAATTCCCAATGCAAAAAAACACAGGGCGGTATTGGAAACGTGAAACAATATTTACTAGTTCTGCCACCTTAAATCTGCAGGAAAAAAAGCACCACCTAAAAGCTAACACAACTAAGTGACCAACTACAGAAAGTGTCATGGAAAAGGAAGCTAAGACAGTCTCCAAACCTTTACAAAGCCTCCCTCTGTCAGCTTGTCAGGGCAAAGAAAGGAGAGAGCCAAGAATCTGTGTGGGAATATCTCTCAAAGCTCAGACAAAAAAGAGAGCGAGCTTCACGTCTAGCGACCATGGATGCAGCACGTCCCACCTCCACCTGCCGTGGCTGTGTTGCCCAAGCCCTGTCGGTAGCCGTCCCTGGGAAGGATGGGCATGCAGGAGAGCTCGGGGTGGTAGCAAGGCTCCTGGACAGCAGCCAGTTAGGAGCAGGGGAGAACTCTGCCAAAAACTTGACGTTGGAGTGTATTGTCTAGGCAGGAACTGGCTGCCTCCCAGACCGGTTCACCTGGTTTGAGCTTTCCAAGCCGAAGCTTGAAGTCATCCACTGCAGAAGAGAGATGCTGTCTAAGGCCACCAGCTGGGAGCAGGGCCATGACCTCCATGGGAGGGACGGGAGCAATCAGGAGACAAAATGACCCAGGGAGAGCACAACATTTTCTTCTCCTAAGAGCAGGAGAAACACATAGCACTCGTTGCTTTCCCTTTGCTTGCCACGGGCCTGGACTGTCCCACCAACCTGAGGGAGCCGGTGCAGCAACAAAGAACTGAGTGAAAGCACATTAGAAAGAGAGATTTAACTGGCCCAGCAGGATTTAGAGCCAACTAAGCATTTCAGACTGCGTCCGCACACCAGGAGGGGAAGGGCAGGGTTCAGATAAGGCAGATGAGAGCAACTGTGAGGAGCACCAGACAGGAACAGCACTTGTGAAAGCCTCCCCAGAGAGGTGGGTGCCCTGTGCCCATGGGAGCCTTGCTCCAGAGGCCTTGTAGGGAGCATCTCCTTCATCACCACCAGCCTCTTCTTCCTAAACACCACTTGAATCAGACATTTCACTTGTTTCTCCCATCCCCGGGGTGAGTGCGGAAGCCTTGACAGGAACAGGGACATCATAGCCAGAGAGAGGTGTACACAGAGGCGCCCCACAGTCCCTTGTGTCGAGTAGAGGTGGACCAGGAGTGACAGCCCGCAGAGAGGATAACAGAGGGGCACACGCGTTAGCAGGGGCACCTGTTTGGGACAGAGTTGCTGCCACCCAAGGCGACATCTCTAAGGGCCTTGGGAAGGGATGAGCTTTCTGCAGTATCTGTGGAGAGGAGGATGGTACGGCCCTGGCTCCGAGGCCACCCCTGACCCCCTCCACCCTGCTTCCCATGGGGCAGAGGGTGCACACAGAGGTCCCCCCCAGGGCCTGCCCTGCCCTACAGACGAGGGGGCGATCCTGACACTACCCTTCTCTTATACAAGGGGATTTCCTCCAGCACAATTCCCCTGCCCCACTGCCCGAGGTGCGCTTGGCATCCCCCCTACTGCAGAGGGGAACCCCAGGGCCCCCGGCCAGCTCCCCTGGCCCACAGCCGGGGTGGACACCCCCGGTACCCCCCACCCTTGCAGGGGGTACCCCAGCCCCACAGCCTGGCAGGGTGCTCCTGACAGCCCCTTCCCGAGGCAGCGGGGCTGCTCCAGCTCCCCCACCCAACGCCCCCCCGCTGGGGAGAGGAGCTGCGGCCCTTGCACCCCTTCCCCGGAGGAGCTGGGGGGTAGGGCCGGGCCGGGCCGGGCCCGCGCTCACCTGCCCGGCAGCTTGGCGCTCCGCTTCCAGAACTGCCTGCCGCTCTCGGCCGCCATGGCGGAAGGGAGGGGCGGGCCC